TAACCAAATATTGGATTTTTATAATTGGTATTTTAAATATGAAAAATCTGAATATCATTTTCTTTTCTTGAACAAATTTAACATGAAATAACTAAAATTTATTTAGTCATCTTCTTTAAAGGGCTCCGGATTAAATTAAGAATATTTAGAATACTTCTAATATGAAAAGTAAATGCTCATCTATAGGAAATAAACTATTATTGAATGATGAAAAACAATATATGTTTGTTTAGTTTATTAACCTAAAATTACAATAGTACTAATACTTCCTCATTATTCATTGAATAATGATTTGGAATTCTTCAAATAAAGTCTTAAGTATAAAACCCTTAAATGACTAAAAATTATAATAATGTATTTCAACATCTTAAAGAATCTTGAAATGATTAGAAAATGAATATTATACTTTAGTTTAAGAGGGGATTAATGATGTATAAAGTATCACTAAAAAATAAATTCTTTGGCTGCGATTTCCACATAATGATATGACTCAATATGATAATTATATTACATTTAGGATTTAAGAAAAAATATTTCTAGTAATTTTATTCATTATCCAATTAAGTGCATATTAGAATTTATTATGTGTATAATTGATGGAAGATTTAGTAGTTATTGATAATTTTTCCTTTTTTCATGTTAAAGTTATGATAAATCAGAATAAAATCGAGGTTCGAATCATAATAGTCAAATATAGGATTCATCGTATTGATACTATCAGTGATAATCGATTGAGCCATAACTTCGAAGACTCCGATTGGAAATTTTTTTTTCCTAATTATTGAAGCTTATAATCAACTCTATAATTAGTAATTGATCACTCTTTTAATATTTGTAAATATTTATTCTTTATAGAGCAAGTTAAAACAAACTTTGGAACATTAAATCTATATTATATATCTACAAACCAATTTGTAAAGAGTAAAGCAAAATGATTTTCTGTAAAACAAAATAATATATTCAGGTAGTATTTCATGATCATATTAATGGTTGAATAGTAATGTTTTAATTTAAAATATTTCTACAATAGAGCTCAACAAAAAAATCACTAAATCAATAATATATTTAAGGAAACTAATGGTCTTTAAAAGAACTTATGGCATACATTATCCTGGTTATTGTTACTCTCATTATTAAAAAGAAATGACAGTAGATATTAGGTTTGGTTTCTCAACAAGTTTTATTAATAAATTTTCGAGGTAAATATATAAAAATAAATATATAAAAATGGTCTAAATTATCCACAACTAAATTATTTTTATCAATCTTTTAGACTTAATTAAGGCTATTACCATCAACATTGTCTTGGAATTATTCCCTTGTCTACAATTAA